ATTCTGGAAAAGAATTATAGTTGGTCTTTGGGACCTATCAGGGCACACATATACTCTTTGGGATGTATGTTAGGATGTTTGTCTGCGCGCATATGACGGGATTCAGTCTCACGGTAATGCTGTGTGTGCTAGGGAGCAATAGTCCCCTGGTTAGACTGCTCAACCCTAGTCACGTGATAATGCGATTCTATCATGTGGTATAGTAAAACAGTCTCAATTGGATTGTTTTTCCCATGGTACATATCTTGATGTGGTGAATGTGTATACGTATGTATATCTATATCGATATATGTATATGTATACGGGCATATGTGTGGATTTATTTCCAGATTGAGTTTCTTGAGTATGTGCATTGAGAGTACTATGCACAGGTATGAACATTTGAAATGAAGTTCATAATTTAGATTGGATATTTGGCATATTGTATTTTTACATGGATTTTGGGTTTTGATGTTATTCTCGTACGTTTTCTAAAGAGATCTATTGCATGGTATTTTGGATATTATTCTCTAAAACAGAGTGGGTTATTTATGCTAAATATAAATTATGTTTAACGCTTTGTTTTCATCCATTCACATTTTCTATTTTGTTCCCCTAGGTTTAAGGCATCTGAGGTGGAGACCACCATGTTGAGGTATCGCCGTTGTCTGCATTGTCACATCCCTGCTTTTGCCCCCTCCCACCGAGATCCACATGCTTCTATTCTAGCTTGAGTCTGGCTAATCAATGTCTTCATACCTTAGAGAGGCATGTTGATTTCTCCTTTTAGGCTGATATCACAGCCTCTTATACCTATCTTGGTACTCATGCAATGACCGTTTGTTTGGCCTCACTTCCATCCCCTCATTAGGCTATGTGGGCCATAATTCTCGGGTGGACTTATTATCATACTCCTTTCAAAACTCTTAGGTCTACCTACTTGGACTTGATCTTTGACTTGCTCCTCAGTCAGCCTCTTGGTCGGTTCCTTGGTTGGCTCCTTGAGTTTCGGCAGAACCACCTCGAGAGTAACCTCACATTGGATCGCACAATCCCATTCGGAGGTTTTTCCTTGGTCGGAATTTTTGTCTCGGGAACCTTGGCCACTTTTGGGTACATCTTGGCCTTGTCTTTTGCCTTAAGGTCCGCTGGAATCTCCCTTACCCTTCTTTCCGTCGCAGCCTTGGCCAAGCCACCCTAGTCAAACCTTGGCCTAGGTTGGTCTAGCCTTGGGAAGTTGGCATTCACCACGTTTACTTGAGCATTTGGAAAAGGATTCTAGTTGACGCTCACTGCAGCTTTCTCTGGAAATTTTTAAATCTTCCAATCTATGAGATCCTGCCCGGCCACTTTTGCAAAAGGAAGCATTCGACCAATTTTACAAGGATACGCTCGGCCACTTTTGCAAAGGAAAGAGTCCGGCATATCTTTGAGAAGGCACCATGGCCTTTGAAGAAAACACCTCGCCGCATTTTTGAGAAAGCACCATGGCCTTTGAAGAAAACACATCGGCCACTTTTTTGAGAAAGCACATTGGCCGCTATAAATTCTCATAATGGATTCCGCCACTAGGAATTCTTTGGCCGTCAGGAATAAGCCTAGCTTCCAAACTTCTCAAGCCCGACTACTTAATTTTGCACCCAGCCATCTTCTCAAACTCGGCGGCCATTCTTCACGCCCGGAATCAATTCTCACACCTGACCCTCTTCTCGAATTTAGCCACCATTTTTCATATTCGGAGCTTGTGTTTTCAAAAGGCGCCAGGGTTAGGTGAATTTTCACAACCCCCAAACATTTGCTTAATAAAAATTGAGCCTCTACATTTAGTATTCGTGCATTTATACGTATTTAGAGAAATTTCAACCATTTGATTAATCGAATATCTTTTGGCCAATTCTTTGGCCCTTTTCTTTTTTTTATTTTATTCCTTCTTTTTATTTTTTTTTCTTTTTTGAATTATAATGTTGTGAGTATGTGATTCTCTTTTGTGTGTCCCACTGGGCGTGCCAAATTATGCTTCCCTCTTTTCGGCTGCTTAGGCCGATTGAAGCAGTTTTTGGTCTTTTTTTAATTGAGTGCGGGGCGTGCCACAACCAAACCAAGAATGAGGCTTGGATGGAATGTGAGTAGATGATGCGTCTGAAATCTGACTTTAATTAAATGATTGTTAGGCCGAGCAAGGAACTCCTCACAGCCTAGTTTCTTTCACTACCTCGGTGTTTGAGCACCCAAATGATGTGAAGTGGGTGGAGATGAAGATTGAAGGTGAAATGTAATGAAACGAAGAACACATGCGTAAAATAAAGAATGTAAGGACGAGTGCGTAATGTAAATTGCATAAAATAAATAATTCAAAGACAAGTGCGTAATTTAAAGTGCATAAAATAAAGAATGTAAAGACGAGTGCGTAATGTGAATTGCAAAAATTAAATAATTGAAATGCGAGTGCTTAAAGTAAAGAGCGAAAAGTAAACTAGATTACAAAGAACAATAAAGATTAAGCGAAGACATGAATTGAAAGTACTGCAATTAAAATAGAATTGAAAAAACAAGAATAAGAATGTAAAGACATAATTGAAATCTACGGAAACTAGAGCGGAAAAAATAAGAATTAGTCTATGGCTACATTATGCTACTCCTATGATAGAAATTGAAGAGAATGTAAAATGACAAGTTGTGTGTTGTGTCAGGCGTCCTTTCTCTCTTTCATCAGCTTGGTATTTATAGGGGCTTCAGTGCGTCTCAATTTAGTCGGTCGTCAATTGGTCTTCAAATCAATCATAAGGCCATCCCCAATGGGGGCTCTATTTGGGGCTCAAGCACCATAAGGCTCTCATAAAAACAAACTCTCCTTAAAAAGGCATCTCCAATGGTGCAAATTTGGGACTCTAAACTTGAAGCCCAACTGGAGTAGTAGCTAAATGTATGAGCTTGGTTGAAGCCCTTGAAACCGAGTAGGTCCCGCAAATTAAAAAAGCTGCAGCCCACTTTTTTGGTCTCTCACTTGCCTACGATTGTACAAGGCCATACTTGCCATTTATTTGTTTCGTTAACAGCATGCTGACCTAGCATGCTAAGCCAAATTTTCAAAAGCTGTGTAAACAGCTATATTGTGAAGCCACTTTTTCAAAGCCAACGAATATAAACGGCTACATTATGTCCAATGGCTATAAACGGCCATATTGTTTCTTTTTTTATTTTTTTTATTTTTTTTAAATAAATAGATTTTCAACTCAATTCTTCCTATAAATATCCATCATATCTCCCATAATTTTTACACACCACAACATCTTGATCACTCTTGATCAATTTATCAATTTTTTTCACTCACTAGATTATTTAATTTTTTTGTTAATATCTTTTCCACGAATGACCAAAATTTCGAAGCAAAAAGGTGCAAATTACTCCATCGATGAAGATGTTGCTCTATGCCGAGCTTGATTAATCATTAGTGAAGATCCAATTATTGGGAATTGTCAATCAAGTGGCACGATGTGGAATCAGATAAGAGATCAATTCATACAATTTCATCCCGATGCCCAAGAAGTACGAACATCTCCCAAATGTGCAACAAATTCTCTGAGTGTCTTACTCAAGTGGCAAAGTTGAACAAGAGTGGCCAAAATGAAATTGACAATGTGAGTTTTTTAAATTTAAATTTTATTTTGCCAACTTAATATTTCGTCAACTAATTTAAATTCTTGCATATAATATGTGTAGATTATTGATGCAAAACGACTTGTTTCGAGAGGACCAAGAAAGCATTCCTCCTTGACCACTGTTGGAATGTTGTTCAGCATGCTCATAAGTGGCAACCCTTTGAAGGGTTCCATTCCCCCCTCCTTTGTGAACACTTCTCCAATGAGTGAATCTATTTATGTAGATGATGATTCACTGTATGAATTCGTTCCAGAAACTCAAGCGCCCCCACAAACCACAAACCTATGGCAAAAGCCTATGGGACAAAAAAAAGCTAAGGAGCTACAAAGAAAGGCTATTATGGAAGAGTCATCTCAAGATGATAAAGAGCTCAAAGAAATTATGAGGTCTTACAAAGATTGTATTATTGAGAACAAAGAGTTGAAGGCTATGTTTAAGGAAACTGCCACAATCCAAACTCCGAATAGAAGGCGATGGGTCCAACAAAAACAAGCTGATATTATCATGAAGAGTTCTTCCTGTTCGCTAACTTTGAGGATGAAGTCTATGTCCCCAACCCCCAGAAGATGATGATTTCTAGAATAATTTAATAGTTTGTTTTATTTAAAGAATATTGTAGTGGGCAGTTTGATCATTTATTATGCTTCGATTAATAGATTCTAACTGTATATTGCGTGATACACGTTCATGCAGTACTAGAGCCTCCTCCACATGATATGGTGTGTCCTCAACAGGAGTTATGTTGTCTTGGTCACACTCATCTTCAATAATCATATTGTGAAGAATTATGCAAGTCTTCAGTACCTCCCAAATGTCTTCTCGGTACCATTGGCGGGCAGGCCTCGCGACAACTACAAAACGAGCTTGAAGAATTCCAAAAGCTCTCTCAACATCCTTACGATACTCCTTTTGCATCCTAGAGAATAATTGATGTTGTCGTCCTTGAGGATTCGAAAATGACTGGACAATTGTGTTCCACTTTGGATATATTCCATCTGCAAGATAGTAACCTTACTTGTATTATTTCCCATTCAGATAATATCATACCCGCGGACACGTCCTTGAATGACATCATCAAAAAGGGGTGACTTGTGTAGTACATTGAGGTCATTATATACTCCCGGCATTCCGAAGTTAGCGTGCCAGATCCATGTGTCCTAAGAAGCAACTGCTTCAAGGATTATAGTTGGACGACCATGGTGGCCCGTGGATGCCCCATGGTGTGACATTGGGTAGTTTTTCCACTCCCAATGCATGCAGTCAAGGGTTCCTAGCATGCCAGGAAACCCCCATTCCTTAGCTTTTTGGAGCAGTTTTTATAGGTCCGCCTTCATTGGTTTACGAAGATATTCAGCTTCGTATTAGTTGTTGACTGCATGACAGAATCTCTTGCAAGCTTCAAAGGATGTGGTCTCTGCTATCTTCAAGTAAGCATCATTGAGGTCAGCTGTCGTACCATATGTAAGCATACGCATGACAGCTGTCATCTTCACTTGTGGTGAGAAACCAAGCTTTCCAGTGACATCAGGTTTTTGTTTGAAGTAATCATCAAAAGGGATAATTTGTTCCATTATTCGATTAAACAACTCACACCTTATGCAAAATCTATTACGAAAATCTGAAGGGGGATACAACGGATGGTTAGAGAAGTAATTTTGAAAAAGGTTTTCATGGGCACTTACTCGATCTCTTGGTATAGTACGCTGTTGTGACGATGTACCCCCGTAGACAACCATCGAGGTCTTCTTCTTATTCTTCACTGCTTTTTTCCTTTGGTAGCTTTCAAACATTTCCAAAAACATTTTGTTGGCACCTGTCTCATCACTAGAAGAGCTATCATATCCATTGTTGGCCATTCTAGTGCGGTGGTAGAAAATGAATATTGAGAATACAAGAGGTGGGAAGTGGTGTGTTATGAAAATAAGGTGGTTGTTCATTTGTAGAGGGTGTGATGGTTTAAGATATAACAAATATACGGATGAGATTCATATGAGGTAATTCAATCCAGTGGTTATTGTAAGATGTTATATGAAGAGATTAGATTTTTTATCTGAAGCCATAACGAATGGGACTCACATCCATCTACCACTATTATTATCTGACAAATGTAAATGACATAGGGATGGAAGGCCATAACGAAGGGGACCCATATCCAGATATCACCATGCTACCATAATTATTATATGACAATGTAGATGAGAAAGGGGTGGAAAGCCATAATGCAAGGGGCCCATATCCAACTTTGGGAGGACCACCAAATTAATGTTGTGCATCTTGTTTTAATTTAACCCTGTTGTATCGTATCTATGAAATAAAATGTTGATTTCCAAATCTTGTCCAAATTTTGATTTTTTTTTGGTTGAAATGTTCACCCAAAAAAAAACAAAAACAAAAAAAAAACTAACTATGAACAAACATTAAAGTAAAATAGTTAACAAAAAAAAAACCACGTAAATCAAATTACATAAAAAAAAAATATAGAGCCCGCCATGAATATAGAGCCTTCTATTGTGGGAGAGATTCCTTTAGAGCCCCAAAGATTCCATCAGAGCTCTAAATGGGGCTCTATAAACCCTTTTTAGAGCCCCAACCATTGGGGATGGCCTAATTTCTCCAAAATGTCTTCAATCCTTTGTCCAATGCATGTGATTTAATGTGAATAATAATATTTGATTTGATTTTCCTTCCATCTTGAGCTCTCCTATGATAACTTCGGTTGACCATTAAGTTGGCATAATTCCTTCTATATTTGAATGGTAACCTATGAGAAAATCCTCCTACGGCTTATCTCTCTCCTTATTTAAGCATTGACTGATTTTATGTATTCGACCACTTTTAGTCTTTCGATCGTATCCACAATTTCGGCCGCTTTTAGTCTTTCGACCGTATCTACACTTTCGGCTACATATAGGCTCTCGACCACTTTTATGCTCTCGACCATATTGATGTGTTCGGCCAAATTGGTGTATTCCACCACATGTATATATTTTGCTACATTTATGATTTTGGGCTTCTATCTGACCTTATTGATTAGGCACACTGGTTGGGCTCAATGTTAATTTAATTTTCAGATCTTAGGCTTGACCCAGCCAAATTTCAACCAGGCCCAAATATTGCCCCCCAGTTTTTATGAATTTTGCCGCAAGCTAAGTTTATGAAAACTTAAAGTTAATTCTTTTTACGAACACATGGCCAGTTCAAGATTTTACTCTTATATCGGCCTCTAGATGATCTTGAACTTTAAACTATTATTTTCGTATTATTGCCAAAGCAATCCGGCTATGAAAGTTTCATGAACTATTTTCATGCAGCTACACTCTTCATTCTTTGATCACAAATATTGTCTTTTATGGCCATTATTAATCAGCCCAATTTTATTACTAGATTTTTTTAGAACTAGCAAACCGTTGATTGGTCCTCTTGCCAAACATGCTGCGTCTCTTATTTGAACCATTCTCACTAGGAATGTAACCACACCATATTTTTATATATTTAACCCACTAAAGAAAATTAGCCATAATAATTGGCTATAATTCTGGTAAGATATTTTATGGGTAGTTCCCCCCAATTAATATGATCAACCTCCTTTGGGTTCAAATAAGAAAGTAAACGCACCTTACTTTCTTTCTTTCTTTTTTTTTTTTTTTTTAGTTGATGAACTTTTGATTTCCATCAATAAATTTCGGCCTTCATTTTTGGCTTTGGATAAGACTAAATTTCTTGTTTTTAAAGAAAGTAGTATCAGCCTTCATCCATATATTTTGCTTCTAAGCATAGGCCGTAATCTCGACTTAACACTTTTGCATGTATTTTTTTCACAAAAATAATTTGCGGCTAAAATAATAGACTTTGGTTTGGCCGTTCTTGTATTGAGAAGAAATCTTTAACGTTGTCGGCCTACTTATTTGGGTAGCGGCCGTTGAAAATAATATTTTTATAGAGACCAAGGGGGTAGCCACCTATGCTTAATTCCAAGCTGTGAGCCTTTCTTATTCTCGGCATGGATTTCGCGATTGTGCAAGCAGTAAATTGGTGTACAAGTCACCTTGGTACGACCAAAACTGTTTTTTCCTTTAGTGCTGGTCGAATTTCCTTGCCCCATATGTCCTGCTTGATTGGCTGGACTTGACCTTCTGTTAGGGTCTAATAAATTTGACCATTTCTAATTGTGGTATAATTACATCCGACTGGTCCCCTACAATCGTGTACACTGCTTCAGGTCGGGTCGTGTTCAGACATTTCTCTTTTTGATCTTGTTGGTCATTAATTACAAGGATGGACTCAAGTTGGGTCATATTTTGGTGTTCAACCTCGACCGCTTGTTGGATCGCATTCTCTTGGGTGGATTTTTCTTCCTCAACCAAAGTGAGAGTTTCAATAGGAAAGTTAATTTGAGTTTTCAACTCTAAGGCCGACTCGTCCACTTCTCTCTCATTCACATATTCCCGATTAACTTGATTTTCCTTTAGAAAAATTCGTGAAATGGATGGCCAGACTGCAACCATACCAAGTTTTTTCTCTTCTTCAACCAAGGTGGGTAAATGGGTCGGAGTACTGAATTCCAAGGCCAATTCATCCACATCATTTTCCTTCATATATTGTTAACCAACCTCCTTTTCCTCCACATAGGTAGGTAGAATGAGTGACTGTACTGCAGTAACTTGATGGTTTTCCTACTGTGGCTGAGATTTAAGATTGTGACTAAGAGTTTGCTTTTCGACAGCAAGTCGCGAGGCGATCTCATGAAAACCTTGAATCAAAATTTCGTTAGAAGCATAAAACTCATCCGCCATCTCCATAAATACATCTTTCACTTTAGATGTTACCTTTATGAAATTTTGATGTTCTTTGTCCATGCGGTCAACATATGGCCTCTCACAATGTTAATATTATTTTGGTCGTTATAGCCAAACATATGATTCGCTTGGTGGAAGCCATAACTAGGCTAATTATAAATATTGGCCGAATTATTTTGGCTATATGGGTAAGTACATTGTCCACTGGCCACTTGATTGTACTGACCATTATAGCAATATTGGCCATTTGAATCATTTTGATACATCATGTTATTTTGGCCATGATTGTTGTTTCCGCCATGTTGGCCATTGAATTGGCCATCAGAGCCATATTGATATATAGAATCGTAATGGCTGCTAAACCCACCTTAATGTGTACAATTACATTGGCCATTTTGGTTGCCGTTACTAAATTGGCCGGTACATTGGCTACTCAAGCCATAAGAATTATAGCCGTTATAGCTCATCGGCTGGTAGGAATATTTCCATTGATTTTGATCACTCATTTAGTGTGTCCCATTGGGTGTGCCAAATTATGTTTCCCTCTTTTTGGCTGGGTAGGCCGATTGAAGGAGTTTTTGGTCATTCTTTAATTGAGCGCGGGGCGTGCCACCACTTATTTGACTTTAATCAAACGATTGTTCGTCCGAGTAAAGAACCTCCTCACGGCCTAGGTTCTTTCACTACCTCGGAGTCAAGGCTTTATGTGAGCAACCAAATGATGTGGAGTGGATGGAAATGAAGATTGAAGGTGAAATGTAATGAAACGAAGAACACGTGCGTAAAGTAAAAGGTGCTTGAATTTAAATGTAATGTAAAGATAAGTGCGGAAAGTCTCAGTTTGGTCGGTCATCAATTGGCCTTCAAATCAATCATAATTGCTTCAAAATGTCTTAAATCCCTTGTCTCATGCATGTGATTTTATGTGAATAATAATATTTGATTTAATTTTCCTTCCATCTTGAGCTCTTCCACAATAACTTCGGTTGACCATCAAGCTGGCATAATTCCTTCTATATTTGAATTGTAACCTATGAGAAAATCCTCCTACGGCTTATCTCTCTTTTTTTTAAGCATTGGCTGATTTTATGTATCCGGCTTCTTTTAGTCTTTCGACCGTATCTACACTTTTGGCTGCTTTTATTCTTTCGACCATATCTACACTTTCGACCGCATATAGGCTCTCAACCACTTTTATGCTCTTGGCCATATTGATGTGTTCAGCTAGATTGGTCTATTCCGCCACATGTAGATATCATGCTACATTTATGATTATGGGCTTCTATCCAACCTTATTTATTAGGTCCACTAGTTGGCTCAATGTTAATTTAATTTTCGGATCTCGAGCTTGACCCGGTCAAATTTCAACCAGTCCCAAACAGTTTGTATCTAAGGCTCACTCTATACCCTTAAATTTATTGCAAGTTGAATATGCAGAGACTAAAACTAGAAAATATATAATATAAATTATAAGGGGGTTGAAGCTGAATCATAGGAGAAATGACGGGCATGAGCACTGCGTGTCTGCAAGTCCAGGGTATTGATTAACACTAAAATAAAAATAAATTTGATCTCATTAAAGATGGGCAAGGGGAAAATGATAGGGTACAAAATAGTGAGTTTTTAATATAATATAATTTTGATGACGTGGACTAATTAAACTTCATTAGATTAACCAAATGATTAAGATTGCTCTAAATGTATATAAATGTATATATGCTAAATGTAAATGCTCGGGATCTCATAATAAGGACCAATATTTATCAAAAGGCTAAGACTAGTCATACCATCAGCCAAAAAATTCATCATTATAGATGTAGTTGAGAGTGCTGCATCTATTATTTAATCTCTTGTGTTAGTATGAAAATTGTGTTGTTATTTTCTAGACTCTAGCATAGTTGAAAATTAGTATGTGAAGAATTGTTACCGGACGTTTTGGCACAACTCATTTAACCTCATACTTCCGGGGCATGACTTGACTGATATGAGAAACTTGACTCCAGGTAAATCATGACATAATAATGCATTCAAAAAGAATTTATAGTTGAAGTTATTTTTAATGCCATTGTGATTTAAGTTAAAATATTAGCGTTTCCTACAGTGACGTGCCATGCTTATCTCCTAATTAACTTATTTTAGGAGATAATTGTTTATTTATAAAAGTGATTATTTGGTGTCATCACTAAAGATCCTTATTGAATCAGAATTTATATTTATAATTGGATAGTTTTTTTGACTGCTGTTTTGGCGTCTTAATGAAGAGACCTTTTTACATCAGGTTTGGTAGTCTTATTTGAATAGAAGTAATTGACTCTTGGGTTTCTCTCTTTTGAGAGAAAATCGGTCTTGAACAAAACCAAGGTGTTTTCTTTTCTAAGGGCAAGCTTTTGACATATTGTTTTTGGAGCATATAGAATTCTTAAGAAAAAACTGTTGTGCATATATTTGAGATAAGTCATCAAGTGTTCCTTATTTACTTGGTGATTTATCATATACTTTCATCATTCATATTGCATTCATATGCATGTCGGTGACTCATATGGTTGAGGGCACCAAGACTGTGGTGGCGGTTTCCCTCCGGCGAGTTTGAAGCAATCATGACCAGTATTGCGTTTAACATAAGAAGTGTCAAAGATCATCCCATGACAGAAGTTGAGTTACGAAGAAGTCAGTAAACATTATCTAGAATGTGTCTAGGTTAAGTGTGTGAGTACTTCTTGGAATCATCGTTCTATAGTGGATTTGTGTTGGACTGAGAAGTCTTATGGATTTTCTCCAGAGATGGGATTTTACCATGTAAAATAATTCTCTACATGTTCCTTTATTTTATGTTCAGCACGTTTCATGATTGATAAGCCATATCAATCCTGCTACCGAAGTTTATTTTGTGTTTATTGATTACAATCTTAAATTGGCATGTTCATCCCTCCTCTAGGCATTTTTAGTCATCCTACAGGTAAGTTGGAGAAATTCTATAGTCTGACCGTTAGATCGAATAATTACTTGATATGTTGGTGTGTCCTACTCATGTTGACATCTAAATGCAATTCTCCCTGAACGTATTCGCATGTATAAAAGGTTGACAGTGAGAACTACTACATCTACATGCACGTTTATTCGAAAATTATTCGACTTTTCCTCTAATTTGGGTGATTTAAGAATTTATAGCAGATGTCGTTACTACAAATTAACTCTAGTATATGAATCTTTTGAACGATGATGATTCTCAACAATCTATGTCGTGTGATGCAAGGGAAAACCAAAATTTAACCTATTCTAGTAACTAAGCAAACAAGAAAATAGAAAATAAATTTATCCAGCATTTCTGGTGATGATTTTGGAAATATTGCTATTCTCTTACTGTTAAGAGAAGTTTTTGGAAAACTAAGAGCAGCCGCTAGTGCTTGAGGGGTTATATATTTAGGCAATCAATATTCCATTGAGTTGTATTCTAACAAAAACTATAATCAAGTGCATGCCTCATTAACTGGGAAGCTCTTATATTTTATTTTTTTATTGTCTGGTCAATCTCCAAAGATTCTCAATGTCAATTAATAATATGAAATGGGTACGAACATCAATATCTGATTGTAAAGAAACTTATAGCCAAGGAGTGAGGTGACAGATTGAGCTACCCTATTACAACCTCTAGGAATATAGTCACAAGAAAAGAAAAGAAACTGAGACAGTAGCTATGCCTTCCATCATTAGCTACGTATGCATCATCCTCAAATTTCAGATGTGGGCTCTACTATAATCGAACAGAACCCCGAATCCAGTTCAAGCTTCAACTCACATGAAATTGCCAGAATCTCTTTCTGGAAATGCCGCCCAAAGTGTCATCATCACCATCACTTTGTCTTTGTCATTCCCAACAGTAGCACCTCAAATCTGGTTTTGAAGAACAATCTGCATTGAGTTTTGGTCGAGCCACATGAGGACATTTCAAACGAGCATGTTTGGGTCTTTGAGGCATCACCAAAAGTGCATTCACTCCTCGTATTCATCAAGCAAAGATAATGATATGTTAAAAGACGATGACAACTCAGGGATCTCAATCCCATGCATCCCAAGATTGTGACTGTACCAGGTAGCCCATGAAGCTGACCTCTTTCCAAGTACCCATCATTGTGCTCAGCAGAAAGAGCTTCAAAATGAAAGACAATTTCAGCCAAACGCACATAGAAACCATGGTGGCTCCACAAAAATTCTGCAATGAATAAGTTGACATCACATAGCAATATGTTGAGCATGATAATAGACCATATGCGCTTCCTTAGCTTGGGTATGGTTTGAAATAAAGAACCGGATGCATCCCTACTGTCCCTCATGACCTTCATATCTTGAACAACCCTATCTTCATTCCACATTGAGTGAATAATGCCAAACCAACTGGGAAGCTCCTAGTGCTGGAATTTTTGCATAAACTATATCATAAGATTCAAGAATTTATGCTGCATCTGACAAAAATCCTCAACTTCTTACATAGCGACCTGCCATGAAGGAGAAAGCCGTAGGTTGACACAGCATAACTTGCACCAGAGCTAATAAACATTGTCTGAAGCCTGATAAAGAAGTTGAGAAGAATATTTTGGTTAAAGTTCATAGGGGAAACTAACAAATGTACATGCTCTGAGAATACTTATCTGTGTTAGTTTTATTATTAACAATCTAGGAATACAGATATTAAAATGAAATGTCAAATCAAAGACAGTCGTTGTTTCAGATCATTTTAAACATGAACTCTATCTCTATGCGTATGAACAGGTGCTATCAAATTAATTGTAACTAAAATCTATAAAACATGGGGCAAATACAATCAATTATAGGAGAAAGATAATGAAGCTGAGACTGTACCTCATATATAATCGGCAAGTTTAATTAATTTTTGCTTCAGACATCGGATTTGCAACCGCTAAACTTGAACTTCACAACAATTTTTTGTCTGGACAGCATACTGAGCTTGGCTTCTTCACTATCATCTCTTTCAAGCTTTTCACTCGAGAAATCCTTGGTTAGATCAGAATTGCAATCATGCCTAACATCGATCATATTCTCAATTCCTTCACCGCCCTGCTCAAGAGGTGCGCTTGAAACACAGCACAATCTTTTAATTCTAAGGAGATCCTCTGATGTACAAGGCTTGGCTACAGATAAAATACTCGCCATCGACCACTTCTTATGCTTACCCTTGTGTTGTTTTTTCATATGCCTCGGCTTCGTAGAAGAAGTCAATGTTTTATTACACTGAATAACATTAAGGTGTGAACTTGGTATTGTAGTCGAAGGTGTTGAAGGTTGATCTGTTGAAACCATAATACTGGAAGCATCGTGGGGACTGAAGCCAGTCTTGTTTTCTTCATGCTTATGACTGCTATTTGAAGGAGATAAATGGCAATGTTGGATTGAAAGTGCCGATACTGCTTCCTCAGAGTCAGAGTATAATTTACACTCATCTTCAATCTCCTGCTCAATGGTATCTGGTTCTTTGTCTTCGGAGTAATCAACATTCTCATCATCTTGTTGAGTAGAATTCAAACCTACAGCTCCTCTGAGTGATTGGATGGCTGAATTATGGGATTCAAGGGGCGGCAACACATCACTAATACCGTAATTGAGACAAATTTGCAAGTATTTTTCTGGAAATGGCCAGTTAGAAAGGACATCTTTCTGACGACAAGCAAGAACATACTGTCTGCAAATAGAAATAGTTATAAATGAGAGGCTAGTTGATTTTTGAAGCAAAAAACTTTAAGTTGAATGTAGTGCAACTCAATCTTCAACATAAAATGAACGTGCATGATACTATTGCACAAAAGGAAACAAAGGAAAAATTGAATACAGGAAATCAGATATATACGAATGGAAATAAACATGAAACTCACTCACAGTACTGATAAATAAAAGAGCAAGGCCTCATAAATTAGGGAGAACCGAAATTTGTTCATAACCTGGAAATTTAGTTTACTCCAAACTTGTTCTTCTGAAAACCCCCAAAACAGAAAGAACAAAAACTGCACGGTTCTATTAAATAAACAGTATTCTGTATTTCAAATTAATGGAACAAAATTGAAAACAAAATACAGAAACATGCATTTCCACTCGAAAAAAAAAATATACAAATCAAATACAGGTTATGAAATAGAATCTGAAAGACTAGATGAAGATATATAAAAAAGACATGAAAAAACACTCTCTCTCAAATATATTATATATGCGAAGATCAATCACCTTATAGAGAAGGGTCTTTTATCTGGTTCCTCAAGATTGTTATTTGAAGTTGTTTGCTGATGCATAGATTGGGCAACCCCAGCTGGGTTCTTCTGCTGAGGCAGCATAGGGTAGACCGCAGAGATTAATCAATGGCTAAAAATGAAAAGGAAGACAAACCCAGTTGAAATTATGGGCACTGCAACAATATGGAACAAGAATGAAGAACAAAATTATGGGCAATCAATGGAAACGAAAAGCCCTTGACCCAGAGAAACGAGGGTTGGAGAACAGAAAGAAAGCCCGAGTTTCAGCTGGTGGGTTGACCAAAGGTTGAAAAGAACACAAGAATATCAGAAAATGAAAATGAAATTCCAACAGTCTGCAAGTTCTCAAAAGAATGAAATGAGAAAGAGAAACGTGTTAGAGAAAGCGTTGCGAATTACAGAGGAAAAGAGAAGTGTGTTCAAGCTTAAAAGGGTTTGGGATGAAAAGGGTGTGTAGCTTAAAAAGAACGCAAGGAAGAAAAAAAAAGAGATATGTTTGTTTTTCAAAATCAGAAGAATTTTATAGATGGGAAGAGAAATTTGAATGAGCTGTAGATTGTTTCTCGTGACTTTGAGAGAGAGAGAGATTGAGAGAGAGAGAGAGAGAGAGAGAGAGAAAGAAGAAGAAGAAGAAGAAGAAGAAGAAGGAAATCGAAGAGGCACCTCTAGCTATTTTCCTTCTATTTTTGTTTGGAGATTTGTTGTTTTCTTTCTTTCTCCTTCGAAAAAATAAATAAAAGAAAACAGAGAAAATCTGATATTTGGGTGTGAGGCTGAAGGGCGTGTAGTTTTTAGGTTATGGAGTTTGAGCGTTCTGTTTTGGAAGGCAGAATACATTTAAGCTTTGACCAAATTTAACAGTCAACTAAATTTGAGAAATCAAAAATGGGTGGCCTTAACTGTCCTGCGTTTATTGACCAAAATGAAAAAAAACAAAAACAAACTGTCCTGCCTTCGCCTTGAGCTTTTCTCTCTCACAGAGGACACATCAAACTCCTTCTATGGCTTGAGAAGCAGAGCCTTCATTTCTACGGCAAGAAAATTATCTCCTGTACATGATTATCGAAGTCCTTTTTCAGACTTGTCTTCTTGTTTTCCTGTGTTTAATTTGCTGTTGTGTTTCTGGTGGCAGGTGGTTGTTTCCTCTTTCTCTAGTAATATCTCTGTAGCCTGTTGCTTGCTTGCTCATCAGGCTTTGGCATTTGTTTTTAGATTTTATGTTTCTTTAGTTGAATCAATAAGTTTCCCTTCATCCGTGAAAGATGGCTCGAATACAGCGTTTGATCTTCTCTATGCTGAAGTGACTATCGCAGTTTATCTCTAAACTTCTTCTGACATATATGGTTCCTCCTTTGCAAATTTTGCAGTATCTGTGTCTGCATTTGGTAACTGATGATCTTATTTGGTCCCAGACTCAATTAACAGATATATACATATGGTGAAGAAGCTGGAAGGAGAAGGCCATTTCAATACTACTGATACCCAACGCATCAGGAAACAGTCATAGATATGAGAAAAACTCTAGTGTGAAAACCATAAAAGTTAAACAAGCAGATTGCAAAACTTTTTCTGCCTTTTTCCAGTGGACATGGGAGGGCTTGAAGGCTTTGTTAGAGAAACCTCGCGGTAGAGAACTCAAAAAATTGAGAATAATAATTGTTGTTAACCCCCGGGAGGGCTTGAAGGCTTTGATTGCCTTTCTTTTGATATAGTGAAGCTGGAAGGAGAAGGCGATCGATCGATCTCAATACTATTGGTGATTCTCAACATCTCTGTCATGTGATGCAGTAGGACACCAAATTTTAGATCTAGTTAGCAGGCATAGAGTCTCTCAATTTTTCTGATTATCTCTACTATTTGTAAAGCAGCTTAGAAACCAAACTTCAATTATTTTTGGTCAATTGATTTTGCTTGTAATAGTACCCTGCCGTAGGAAAAAGAAGGAAACAAAAAACAAAAAACGGTTCAAGGTACAAATGTTTAGGAGCAGAAAATTCCTTAGGTATAGGTGATTGAGTTGAACTTCTGTCGCTGGACTTTCTAGGCTGAATGTAGATAGGAGGCTGATAAGAAGTTGGGGTGTAGGACAATATAGGAGCCATTATATATTATTTGAGCTGAATGTAAATGTTCTTTTTCCGGAATTTTTGTACAGAAGATTTCGCTTGTTTCGGGTGAGAAGAATTGATAGTTAAGGGTAAAAACTATTATGTCAGTATATTTTTTATGTAATAAACTGAGTGAGTATTTGAACTGAAGCAATATTACATGCAGCCATCGGACTCTTATCTGTCCGATGATGAAAGAAGTTCTCTGAACAGCTTCAAACTAGATGAGAAAGAGAAAGTGGTACACACCTATTGAGGCAGCTGGACAAGTTTGTTCAATGGCTTCCTTTGGGAAAAATATTACAATGAATTACAACTGATTCTATGGAAGGACAAATAAAACCCATTAAAGCCAGATAATTAATAGTACTGAAGCTAGTAAAGATGACTCCATGCAGTGCCATGCCAATTGAATAGTCTTAAAAAGAAAATCATAGAATTTCCAGAGCTTTCGCCTTGGACTGAGGAGCAGAGTTTTAGCTTGTGCTGGAAAATTATCTCCTTTTTGCAAATCAATAGCCTGTTGCTAATTGCTTGCTGAGGCTTAATTTTACTTTGTTTTGTCTGCAAGATGTCTATCTCCGCACTGAAAAAAGCAAGCTGATCAAGTTTTAAACTTCAAAGTTCTGAGGTGGTTCCACCTTCGCAAATTTTGCGGAAAACACAACATGGTAAAATCTGTTGGAAGGATGCATTTTGGTGAAATCTTAGATCCTAGACTCAAATATTACATATATACCTGCAATGCATTTGGTGAAGCTGGAATGAGAAGGCTCTCAATATTCCAACACATCACGGTATAAGAAACTTACTCTTGATGAGAAAAAGATATAAAAAGATTTTAAAAATTCCTTTACTACAATCACTTTGAATCCAACACATATATACTCAAATTAAAGTTAAGCATGAGCTGAAGGCGAAGAATAATCGGAGAAGAAAAAGATTGACGAAGGTGAATTGCATACACTGTTGTCGTTGAGCTTCTTCCCAACAAGCCATGGCAATGATAATCATTTATACTCTAGCTAATGGTTTTGCATGAACCAAAGTGAGAGAGAGAGAGAGAGAGAGAGAGAGAGAGAGAGGGAGAGGGAGAGAGAGATGTGGGTGATGCTGCCGCAGTGGGGCTCTATATTTGTTGTTAATTCTCTTCTTCTTAGTTTATGCTAATCATTTTCATTGCTGCGGTGGATCCATTGAAGTCCTGCTTTGATTATGATGGCAGAAGAGTTTCTGCATATCTCTGCAAAATAATATAGCAAGCTACGTCAATGGATGACCCATCACATTTCATTTACTTAACTTACGTACGGTTATAGCGCAGGAGGTTTGAACTACATCACAGTTCATCCATAGTCTGTTGCTTGCTTGCTCAAGCTTTGACATTTGTTTTTGTTAGTGAGATCCTAACTTAATTAGGAGATTTACTTCCTAGTTTATTAGGACTATATTTCTTTCCTTTTGCACATATATTGTATAATTAAGATTTTATCTTATTTCATAGTTTGACCCTACTAGGGTTACATCCTTATATTATAAATACATACTTTTGGAGAATGAAATAAAACCTGAAAATATTCTACCCATATTATTTGACTTAGCATCAGAGCCAACTTTTCTGATGACCTGTGTGTTGTGCCCACCCCTGTTCTAGTCCTATATTTTTTTTTCTCTACCTATGTCATGTGTGCCCTCCTGGGTTTGTGTATTGTGTTGTAGTGTTCGTGCCTCTACTGTGTTCGTGTCATTCCTATCTTCATGCATCTGTCGTATTTGTGTCTTTGCTGTGTTTCGCTGTGTACTCTGTCGTTGTCGTGTCTATACTATGTTCGTGACTGTCTTCGTGCATCTCCCGTATTTGTGCCTCTGCTGTGTTCCGTTGTATACTTTGCCGTAATCTGTTGAGTTTCTGCTGCAATCATGGGTGATAACTCCATTGTTGCTGCTATTGGTGCTGCTGTTGGTGCTGCTTCTGCAAATTTGTGTATTTCTGATTCTATTCCAGGTACAGGCTCCAATACTTGGATAATTGACACTGGTGTTTCTGATCATATGACTTATGATGCTAATTTTTTTGATGAGTTGTCTCGTAACACCCATGACCCATACATAACTATTGCTAATGGCTTGCCCTCTCCAGTTATTAGTGAGGGTGCTATCTCTCTCATTCCTACTCTGTCCTTGTCTTGTGTGTTATTAGTTCCCAATATCCATTGCAACTTGTTATCTATTGGTCGATTACTTGATACACTTAATGCTTCTGCTACTTTTTATCCTACGCAATGCTCTTTTCAGGATCTCAAGACTCACGAGATGATTGGGCATGGTAAACAGATAAGGGGTTATATTATTTGACATTGCCTTCTGCACTAATTCGTGATCGTGTCGTTAATATTGTTCAAAGTTGCAGGTCAAAGACAAACAACAAATTTGGTTCTGGCATCGTTGCTTGTGACACCAGTCATTTGGCTACCTTAAGCGTTTGTTTCCATCTTTATTCCGCTCTTGCGATGAGTCCAGTTTTAAGTGTGAGATGTATTTTGGCCAACAGCCATCGCAGTGTGTTTCCTTTGAGTGATAGTAAAGCTGCAAAGCATTTTGATTTAGTGCATTCTTATGTGTAGGTCTGGCTCGCGTTACTTCAAATGAATTTCGTTGGTTCGTCACATTTATTAATGATTGTACCCGACTCACTTGGATTTTCTTGCTGAAAAATAAACATGATGCTGCTTCCATTCTTCTACAGTTTTGTACTATGATATCTATTCAGTTTCATGCTCGGGTCAAAGCATTCCGAACAGATAACGGAGGTAAATATGTGAATAATACTTTGGCGTCTTTCTTCCGCGCTCAAGGTATTATTCACCAAAGGACAACTCCTTTTACTTCTCAACAAAATGATGTGTCTGAAAGAAAGAACCGACAATTGCTTGAAGTTACTCGCTCACTTATATTAGATATGTCTGTTCCCCATCATTTTTTGGGCATGTTGTTCTGTCTGCTGCCTATTTGATTAATCGTACTCCTAGCTGGGTTCTTGATTTCAAGACTCCACATGATGTGTTTGGTGACCATGTTTCCCCTGTTTTCGTCTCCAAGTTGCCCTCTAAAGTTTTTGGGTGTGTTGCCTATGTTCATGTTTATTCTCATCAACGGAGTAAACTTGATCTTTATGCTTTGCGATGTGTCTTTATTGGTTATTCTTCTACTTATAAGGGTTATAAATGCTATCATCCACATACCCAGAAGGTGCATGTTACTTTGGATATGACTTTCCACAAAGAAGTGCCCTATTATGTCTCTCCCTTCTCTCCAATTCAGGAGGAGATGGGAAGTGAATTGGAGAGTCTTGAATTAGAGAATCTTGAACTTGAATTGGAGAATGATGCTTTTGAAGATACTCCTCTAGGGAAGGAGACGACCAGTCGCACTGAAGCAAGCAACCGGTCGCCCATATATAAAGATGAAACATGTGGTCTCTCAGTGATGAAACATCTAATATCAGCTAGTTGGGATGTTGTTGGAGTTGGAACTTGGAACGTCACTGAATATAGCATAAGCTATTTTTTTGAAATTGATATATTTTGGGCCAAACTAAATTTGCATGATACAAATTACAATGTTAGCCCAAAATGTATCAATTTATAAGTTGGTTGTAAAACTAGTTTACCTCTCCTGTATTAGATAGTTTATATACTCAAAACAGAAATATTCGACTTTGATAGATACCTAATTGTGTCTAGTCCCATTATCGAAACGCAATTATGTTGTGAGTGTGTTATCCGGATCGTCCCGTTATAAAAACATGCTCGTAATTATCCTATCCTTTCAAATAATTTAAACAAGGGTAAATTCCTTATACTATGATAACCGTTGATCATAACATAAGGTGAAGAGTATGTGATGACTAGCGAGTAGAATATTGATCTAAATCTTCCTGGAGCTTCTCGATAATCTTGTCCTGCTCACTAATGGTCTCTGCGAGTCTCCTGTTCTCTTCCTTCAGCATCTCAAACTGGCAAACAACACTTTGAATCTGCGCTTCAATGGCCTCATCGCTCAACTCAAAAGCACTCTCTACAACCCTAACAACACGCCACAAACTCACCACAGCAAGCAGCCCCCCTCCCTTCCTCTCGAAAAAAGCTTCTAAAATCAGCGCACCCATCAAAACGACGCCGTCAATGAGGTAAGCGGGACGCCTCCGGAGAAACGTACGCATGCCAAGCCCCACAGCTTGAGCCACCGTCTTCGCCGAAAGCAGGGCGAGGATAGCAATGCCCACCCAACGGTACCAAATTTCTGGTGTGGTTTTTTTGTTCTTGTTTGGTGAGTTGTTGCACTTGGTTAGCAAAGATGAGGAGAGTTCAAGGATGGTGAGGATGAGATCTACAATGAGGAGGGAGATAGAAATCACATGGACTGGTGTGGACTCTAGAAAATTGGCCAAGTGGGTTCTCCATGGGGCTAAATTAAGGTCTTGAAATTGCGTGGAATTATTATTATCAAACCAAAAAAACCTGTGCCAATGTTGCCTTCTATGCCAGCTCCTAGTCAGGCTCTGGATTGAGGCTTCAGTGGATTCAATAGAGAATGAGTTGGTGGTGGTGGTGGTTGTGGGAGGCCCAGGTTGTTGAATTTGAATCTGAGATGAGGCAATTTTCATTATTGGTTTTGGAAACTTGGAGTTTTAAGTTTGTGTTTTTGGTTTTTTTGGGTTCGATTTGGTGCTTTTATGTGTGAAGTGCAAGCTTGGAGTTGATGATATGCTTTGGAGTCACGTTGAATGAATGCCATGCTGTGCAGTGCAGTTGTATTGCATGTGTCACTTTTGGAGATGCGTTAAGCATCAAATCAAAGCACCTCCTCACCTTTTTTTTCTATATACTCATTTCTGTTTTGCTTCTTTTTTTTTTTGGGTCTGACTTCTCTCGCATGGGATGGAACCTAAATGTTTGGGTACCCATGTGAGAGAGCTGGGCTGTTATAGCTGTAGCATTTTCATTGTCAGCATTGGTTCATAATTTTTCTTTGCGAAGGTCAAAAATTGGATAATCTTACTGGAAATATTGACTGAAAAAGTGAACTGGGTTTGATGTTTAATGGGTTGTGAATTATGTAGGACCATACATTGCTGCCAAGTAATGTTTTGCTTCTCTCCCAACTACCAGTTTATATATTTTCTTTTTAGGGGCCAACACTTCACTTGAGAAGCCTATGGAGAAGCTGAAGTCAAGAAATACTGTGGTGAAGGTTTGGATAACACATTTCTTCGTATAAATGGCCCACGTTGCATCATCTTGAATTCCTTATACATATCTTTGACAGGATGATACTTTCAAAACCTCAGACTCACCTAATTTGCATAGTCAAGCAACTGCGTATGCAAAGTTGGCTGAATCTGATGCTGTGAAGACTGGCTCTTTGAAGAGCAGTGCAGAGCAAGAAAACCTTAAAAGATGAAAGTGGTCTTTTCGTTGTCCTCCCAATTTCAGCTGAAAGCACTGTTGCAGATAAGTATTTGATCAAGCATATATAATATATATCATCCCTGTAAAGAACACCAATATCATATTGAGTATTAATGCAATCTACAAATTTGCCATTCCTTTGTAGAAATAATGAAGGTATTATAAATCCTCTAACAGTTTAGTCCCTAATTTTTTTTATAAAATATATATATATATATATATTTGACAACAGCAACCTTAAATTTACAAATTGTCACACCATTGAAGGTCTTCTATCTTACTATAAAGTCACACGTTATTCTAGTGAGTCCATATTTTTCTTACATTACATAAAAACCAAGTTAATGTCAGATGAATTAAAATATGCTATATCAACAATCAGTAAGAATACTTTTCAAAGGCCAGTAAGGTATAACTCAGTTGGTTAAGCTCTTTCACCTTCACCCATATAATATGAACATAAACCCCGGTATGGATGGACCTAGGATTTGAAAATAAGATGGGCTAAATTTATCTTACATACAAACTTATCACATGATGTCCAAGTCAATTTTTCTTTTTTTCACTACACAACTTATCACACGATGACTAAGTCATCATCTCTCAGTGCCAGCTTATCACAACTGATATCAAAACTGATTGTCGTTGATCTCACAATTTCAAATAGATATGGGCAAAATTTCAAAGATTCCAATGACTATATTGGCATGAACGAAGTTTGGAGTTTTGATAAACTTAAAATAATTAATTTTTTTTTCTAAATTAAATCCCACTTTTACTTCAAAAGTTGTACATTGGAAGGATTCGACTAGCCTCATTTTCTCTCTCC